ATCTTATTAAGTTATCAAGTTCTTTATTGGATGTTTGTCGGTTTTTTCAACTTTTCAGTTTAAGTGGTATTTGAGACTATGTGATGAATTAATAAAAGTACAGTCAGGAAGTGTTTACAAATTATTTATAGTTCTTTAAAAAAAGTTTTTATATATTATTACGACATAAATGGAAACTATAACTAAATCCACACGTTTATTTACTCTGAATAATCTAAAAAAAAAACAAACAAGATTTTCTCAAGTTGTTTTTAAAGTCATATAAGTACTTATAGTACTTATTTATAGTTCATTATAAACATGCAGTTTTACTGACAATAGCCTTAAACATAAATTAATAAACAATAAATATAATATTAATATATTACTATAAAAATGCAAATCATAGATCATACGAGCATTATGATCCTCTAAAAACTAGTTTCAAACAAGATATTGAAAGTTTCTTAAAAGTAGGATGCTATCTACTAATTTTCAAAATTACTTGTATAATAAAATATATAGTCGGTGTTCAATTATTTTTGAGAAATCATAAATAGAATATTTTGCGTATACTATGCTTATACTGTTGAAAAAAAATATTTTAAAATCTTTCATACTTCATAAACTAAAAATTTATTATCAGTTATATAGTTCCGAATCTCTAAAAATATTATTTTCTAAATTTCTAAAACTACTAAACGGATATTTTTGAAATTTGTATTTATTTTTTTCTATTTCTCATTTCTATAACTCCTACTTTTAGAATTGTATAAGATTTTTGAAAAATCAAAAATTTTACCTTACTAAAATATTAATTGTGTTCTATTTAAAACAATTTACATTGTAATAATATTTTGGAAAACTATCTTTTTCTACTAAAGGTATCTTATAGTCACAAACTCACAACTCACAATTCACAATTATAACTCCATACTCCATAAACTTAAAAAAATTACAACGTTGTAAAACTAATAAATGCATACCTCGGTTACTCGAGATCTAATAGGATGAAAAAAACATTAAAAATTAGATTAGGTATGTGGAAAGGTCTGTCTAAAATATTTAAATAAAACATACTTTAGGACACGTTTAGGTTGTGTAATATATATTTTTGACATAAATTAAAGTTTGTTTAAATATAATCTCAGAACCGTCATATAGGTACCTACTGTGCTGTTGACATTTTTCGTGTATGAAACTTGTAAACGTATCTTCATATCAAATGATAATTTATTCAAATTTAAAATGACGAAAATGTATAATTTTTAACTCTCTACCATTCTCAATGTTAATATTATTAAATAGTAGAAAATCTTTGGACGACTGTGACAGATTTATTATATGAGATTGTCTCTTATATATATATATTTTATGAATACATGTCGTTAGTAAAATGTCAACGCAATGGTACATGATAAGCGCCACAATACGTCAGAATATGTTTTATACAACTATCAAAAAATGCATTTTTTTTAAATATATTGTTCAAAATAAAAATATTGTATTTAAGAACGTATATAACTTCTGAGTTGTCAAGCCTTACATATTATATTTTTCTTTAATCTATTCACACATAAATCACTCAATTAAACACGGTTGGATTATAATAATTTTGAATGGTATTACTGCAGTATATATACACTTTTAAATTCATTTAATCTTTGAAATGACATGATATGAAAATAATAAAATGATCAAAATTCAAAATGTATATTTAATATCCATTGTTACAAATTGGGTGTGTCAATTATCATTTATAATAGATATGTTCAAAGTGTTCAGACATTAATTCGTTTTTAGATCAACTTGATTGATCATTTTACGCTACATATATAACATACGCGTATAATGTAAGTGTATACAACGATATAATATCAGAGTACCGTATTCATTATATTATTATTGTGTTTTGCAATAACTCAGCTGCGATTTATTTCTACGATCATTTTTTTAAACAAATTTGTAGACTGTATTAACCATACCCACACTCACTGCTGTTTTTATGTGTTTTGATAACTAATGGATAACTAAACGGTTTATTAAATTAACTGTTGTGTAGGTATTTTTATTTCTTTTTTTTTTTCATTTTTTATTTATTCTTCAAGAAGATAATAGGCCCCAAAGATAATACGAAATTCATAATATTCGTGGGTTCAGACTATACAGACTTATTAAAATCTTCATTCCACCTGATGAACCAAATCAAAAATGTAATAATCTCAAAAACAAACATGCATTTGTATTATTTAAAATAATAACAAATAACTTTTTAAAAAAAAAAACCTTTTTTGCAACCATTATAAAATAAATATTACAGTGGTTCCTGCTAATATTTAGTCCCAGCTTTGCTTTGTAGCAAAATACAATCGATTAAATTATTACATCACACATTTGGGGAAATCTAACCAATATAAGACTTAACATAATATAATATTCCTGTGCTTTCAGGTGTAAACAAACCTTTAAATAAAACCATTATTATATTTTGCTGTGTTTGTTCGATTTGATAATTGTATTACACTCTATATTTTGTTGTTTAAATTGGTTTGTATTTATATTGGCTATATTTTCATATAAGCATTCTCACAGAGGGTTAAAGTATCAATTTTTTCCATGAAAAAAAAAACTATAAAAATAAACATTATAGGAGTACCTATAATAATTTAAAGATTACAATATTTGTATAAAAATGTATTTAAGCATTGTATGATAGTTGGCTAATTTAATAAATTTTATTCAAAACTTTAATATTAAAACTATAGAAATTCATTGTGATTGATTCCTTTTGGTAAGTACTTATATCTTTAATTTATTCACATTCATCAAGTTCTTATCTGTTTTCAAAACGTTTAATTATATTAAACAATTATGGCTTTATGAAATGTATTATTAATTCAATTAATTTTGTTTTTATTGAAGGACTGAAGTTCTCAAGAATTTACCTTAAAATACAGTCGAAAGTTTTAAACTCGTATAAATAAATAAATGAAAAATGATATAAGTACACTAATACCCAGTACACTCTATAATATTATTCAAATTATTTTGATTTAATTTAATTATTATTTAAAGTAGGTATAAAGTGTACAATTGTATATGAATCGTTTATTATGATATTATTATGAATTATAATGAAACAATAATAATTCGTAATAATAATTGAATATTCATAGAACTTAGTAAGTTAATTTGGTATATTTACTATTTTCATTACACTCTTTGCATTTTTATTTACACTGCTAGGTAAAATTTAAATAATTAAACCACATAATCCCATACAATAGTTAAAAGTGTTTAAGTGGCGTAAGTTATTAATATTTAACACATCAATATCATATTAAAATATTGTTGATTTAATTATTAGTATTTTTGATCTAGGAATCCTTAACTGAGCGCGTTCTTGGAGCTTAAATATGTTAACGTGCATTCAGTCATTAATTTTTTTCTTAAAATTTCCGAATACATATGCATACATAGTATTATGTTAATTTTTATTTTTCATAAAGAATATCGATAATATTTTTAATGGGAAATAGTAGTAGGTATAGTTTGGGTTGTTCTAGGGACAGGTCATTTTATTTACTTTCTATAATAATATATTATACTTAATTATGTACATATTCTATGGTTCAGATATCCATAAATGCCCAATACACACATATCGAGTGCGCGTTAACTATTATATCAATGTACATCTGTTCAGTGCACAATCCATATTGACGAAATATTTATAATATGCATTAATTTACAAAGAGATTTATAATTTAGCATTCTACTTGACGTATAATTGGATTGCGACACAAGTGGTACAATGATGGCATTTGAGTAGATTTATAATTTGCAGTTTATAGTGACATAGAGTATTGTATACGATAAATTAGGTTGCCTATTTGCAAAAATGAGAAAACAGTAGTCATGATTGAATGCATGCAGTTTAAGCATAATATGCACTTGTTTCTCTTTCTCCGTAGTCTTATCAATTTTTAGAGCCAAATATATTAAAGGTAATGGCCGAGGGGACTCAGCCCCCCAAAGTAAAAAAAAAATATGTATATATTCAAAATAATTTATAAAAACAATACATTCCTATACATGACTACAATTACGCATGTCAAAGAAATATAATACTCATATAGTCATACCTATCATATTATGACGACAATGTCTTGGGCATAATAATGTTTCGTCCACTCGTCTAATATCTCTATAATATTAAGTATATATTTTATTCACGATGAATTTAGTGTTAACTGCTATGAAATAATATTTATGTTATTATATGTTCTATAACTATAATATATGGGAATTGTGCTCAGTGTTTTATTATTCAATTTACTCGTATTAATCACACATACGGGTAAAATTGCAGATAGTGCAATATGCAGTAGTAAGCACGGGTGCAGTAACGCAACCAGAAATGTAAAAATGTTCCAAATAAATATTTTTGTTTTGTAGGTACTGAAATAATATTGTTACAATACTGAATAAAAAATGTATCATGTGATAATAATACATTCTAATACGGGTCTAGAAGGTGAAATAGAGCCACCTGCTCTAGGTTCTACCACTGCAGCTTATAATAACATCCATAATATTATTATATTCATAGGTATTAATTGCCGGTATTTGCCGGTATTAATGAATAAGCATAATAAATTTGGTATCTTTAAAATAATAACACTATTTTAAAATGCATATTAGGGTATCTTTGGAATTTTTTTTTTATATAAGTATGCAACCACTTACGGATGAGTAACAGGTAAACAAATATTGCGTAAGGTGAAGACGATGACCGGAACAAGGCCGCCATCGGACACGCGGACGAAATTCGTTGTGTGTAGACTCGCGGCAGTTAATGTTTACAATAGTTATAATTATTATTCCGATAATATGCGGTACTCAAAAAAAAAAAAAAAATGAAGATGATAATAATAATAAAACAAGAATAACGGTTTTTATTTTTTAAATTGTTTGCGGATGGATGGGTGAGGGGGCTCACTCACGGCGGCTCTGTGACACTACGCGAAAACCGTATCGGCCGACACGACGCGAACAACACCGCTTGACATCGACTGCAACCGCTGCGCCACCACCGTAGTCGCAGTCGAATTCGTATTCTCTTCGGTCTCGATCGACGGGAGGACACTACCGACGGGGCGAAACATTGTCGTCCGACTGCCGTGCGCAAAACGTTCAACGCCACCGCCGCCGCCGCCGGTGCCGCCGCTACCGCAGCCGAATCCCTTTGAGAGGTGGCGGTGGTGGAGGCGGTGGCAGGCTGGTTGAACAGTCGACTCGTCGCGACTTGCATCTCGCTGGCTGACGAGACGACGTGGGAGGGGAGTGGGAGGGAGATGGCTCATCTCTAGGGGGTGAGAGCCGGGTTATACGAAAAAATTACGTCCATTAGAGGCGTCAAAAGAACAATCGCTCGCCGCCCCCTCTGACCCCCACTCGGCCATTTGTCACACTCTTCCAACTCGCACCCTGACCCCCTACTCAAACGCTGCCACGCTGACAAGTCAGCAACCCCCGATCGTGCACTGCCTTACACCGAACATTTTTCGGCCAAGATGGATATAATATAATATTACCTCTGCGTATAAACAACAAACGGTGGTCGTGGTTCCAACGAACTGACTTGTTGAAGAGACGTGCGAGGAATGTCAGAAAAAAAATTGAAATCCTAAAAAAATACACACACTATATTATTATATGGGCCAGCGGAAGACATGACATTCATGACATGATGATCATTATTATGATAACGCCTATGCGGTTGGACGAAGATAGTTTGCTCGTGAATGTCAGTTAGCTGAATGAGTTTTTTTTTAAAGTTTCAACAAACGACACACATCAGTGGAATAATCCAGATATCCGAATAATAATTTGTTTAATTGGACAAATTGTTCAATATTCTATAGATGATTATCATAATAGACCAACGCTCATATTACTATATCGCATAAATAAACTGTTTAGTGAATAAAACGAGTACATGGACTTAAATAGAAATTTAATTAGATAAATATAAACAAATATAAATCTGTATGTCTTATATTTTCCTCATACAATTCAAATGTTAAACTCAGCAATCAAACATCAATATTGCTTATTTAAAATAACGTATTATATAATATTATAGTGGGTACATATTAAAAAGTTCAAAAAAATATTGCATTGGGGCTGGTAGAAGAGTGACAATTTAATTTAGACTTATATATATTATATATATGAACTTGAAATATAAAAGCTTTTTACTTACTCCTGTGGGAATATTTAAAGTAGAATGAAAGAGATAGGTAATTTAGCCAGAATTCAAGATTTATTCACGATTTTTTACAAATAAAAGATAATTTCTTAATTAGAACAAAATATAATATATAATAACTTTATAATATTGTAAACTAAAAATTTCACAGTTTCTATTTTGCTTTAATTTTACATTAATTCCTTCAGTGAAATAACCATTGTAGGAATCTAAAATATCAAGTTCGATAATATACAGAATATTATCCTAAATTATGGACAATTTTACATAGGATACTAAAATTTTATAATTTTAAAATCCTAAATAGATGAAATTCTCAAATTTAAAATTATGATAAGAACAAGTTTATCATAATATTTATAACCATGTGTTACTGTTTTTAAGATATTCGACTTAAAAACGACAAAATACACGTAATATAATACCATCGTAATACCATTGTTTGTATAGAAACATTTTAAAGGTCATGGTATATTGGCACACGTTTATAAAGGTGGGAAAAATGTATTGAGCCGAAATCGTTAAAAATGTCTCACCGTTTGAAATAATCCAGATATCCAGATGTGCCACATCTACCAAGCAAATTACTAATTCACTTAAAAAAGTGCACAAGAATTTAGTTCTGAAAAAAATAATTACTGTCATCAAATTACGGAGATAAAAAATAGTATACCTATTGTCTATTAGTGGCACATTTAAGTGCCATCGCAATTCAATTATTCTCGTCATTATAAAAATGCAATAAAAATTGCTAGTTGCACTCATTATGACTTATAAATTGTAATAATTTAATTTTAATAATAAAGGGAAAAGTAGGTAACCTCTTTGATGTAGAATATGTTTTGGGGGTACATAGTCAGTGAGTAAGTTACTGAATGTATAGGTATATTTAGTTTATATTAAATTATCAATATGAAAAACGATTCAGAGCAAAGACAGTCGGTCAGTCTAATATTATATTACTATAATGTCCGTGTACAATGTACATAGTAAATTTGTGTATCACATAACACATAGTTTAACATGTCTTATGTGACACATATATGTGTACGGGCATAAGTGTTTATAATATATTAATCATGAAGATTAGAGATATCTCTAATCTTCATGGTATTAATATTGCTACTATAGTAAATAACACATTATTTTATTAAAATCAATAAGATAATAAATAAAATATACAAATTATTAGGTGTATAATAATATTAATGATGGTAGTAGTAATGTAGAAGTATAGTAGAAAAAAAGTATTACAACCAAACCTCTAATTACCGAACACTAGTATTTACTATCAGCGCCCGAGAACTGAAATTTTGTCCGCTATTCAAAGGGTTCAGATTGTAGAAAGTTTATAGTCGTTTACCAAGAAACCGTCCGCTATTGGGAAGTTTCCGTTAATGGACGTTTCACTGTACTAATTAAGTATTTTGATTATACCATTATAAATTTTAACATAGTCGTCAATTAAATTTTTCGTAATCGTTAATTTTTTTTTGTTGGTGTAGAGACTGTAAATTTGTACTTTCATTGAAATATAATTAATTTGTATATCGTAAAAATATAGGGACAAGTAAATTTAAAACTTCTGTTAAAATTCGAATGACAATATATACATAATAATATCATGCATTCCATCTACCTAGTTGTTCTGTTTAAATCAGTTGTCGTAGTAGCTCGTTTGTAGTTGGATCGAAGATTTTTATAAAATACCGATGAGTGTATAATTGGTGCGTTCCAAAATATAATTTAAGTATAATTTGTACCCATATCTAAATATATCTTTAATCGAACTTTGAACTCCTTGATATAATATGTGAGTGAGGATATTATCTTCGATGCAAGTTATATCAGGTCATAATAAATTATAGGTAACCTCATAATTATTGATAAACGTCAGTGTTTAGTGCAATAATTACTTATTTTTTTAACACTGGTGAAATAATTCTTACTTCTAAATTTATTTTGGTGGAATTTATCATAGACTTTTTTACCTGATATTTTCATTAAAATATATAATCACGAGGACGAAACTGATTATTAATCAATTTGAATATAATTTTGCATTCATTTTTAACCCTAATATTTTATAATAGAAAGTTTTCGAATTGATTTAATTCAATTGAAAAAATAAATAACAATTTAGCTCTCATTATAATACATTACATTATTTGTCAAACTAAAAAAAAACCAAAAAGGTCTTCGTGATACGTAATATGGAGCCAAAAACGGTGGATCAGCCTAACTGTCCACAAATAAAAAAAAAAAACCTACAAAAGTAATACAATTAACCATCTGTATCTAAAATTATATTATATTATAAATAGTTATTATATTTGAATATAAATTATAAAAATACATGCATGTCTATAATAACACAACATTTTATACAAATTAATTAAAACTATACTTTACGTTTGAACAATATTATAATTAATGAACGTAATGTCCTTCACAGTGACTATACAGAAAAAAACACCAAAATGTAATATCTTCTCCCTTGCGACTGGAAACTTTACGCGTCACGAACATTAAACATTATAAAATTGTTTTAAAAACGAAATAGTTAATGGTATTAATATAAGACCTTTTTAATTATAATGGTATATTATTATCACTGATTGGGGAGTTTATTAATAATTATTCGTTTTTTCACTTTGAAATTAAACAACTCACTCAACTAGGTATATGCATGCTATGTATTCGTCGGAAATTGCATATAATTTATAGTCATTTTATAAATATTTTAAGTATAAACACAAGTAGTTTTTATTAGATTAAAGTTCACCTTAACCATTGTGTTAAATATAGTTATATTTTTAGTAGATTTATTGTATACCTATATCTATTATTTTATTCTTAAACTGCTGAAATATATTTCAATTACCTACCTCTTATTCCAAATTAAATGAGAACTTAAAAATACGAGTTTAATAAATATTTCCTTATATTATGTATTATCACAAAATGAAATAAAAAGTGTTACACATTTAAAGTTCATGCCTATTAAATGTATGTACATAAAGGATAGTAAAAAAATTATGAATATATGAAAAATATAGGTTTGATACATACCTAAATCATTAAAAGAAAAACAAATTGTTGTTATAATATTATTGTTAAACAATATTGACGGTTAAGGTTAAACAAATTACCTTCAATATTATCTAAAATCATCATATGATACGTATTTTATACTTCTGTTGTTCATGCATTATACAAAAATTTAAAATAACATTATAATACCTAATTAGTTTAAAATATTTATATTAATTTTTGAAGTTGATATGAAACTTATGTTTTTTGATGGATTTAACTAAATCTAATTATATACAAATATTACATTTTCAAATCACTGATATTTTAGACCAGGAAATTATTTGTCATTTTAAATTATGGTTTTCATCAATAAAACATCAGTTTCCATATTATATGATTATAAATGACGTGTTTTTTACTACAAAATAAAGTGAAATTTGTAGTAAGTGTAAAGAGACCATTCTCTCGTAAAATATACTATCCCCGGACGACGACACAGAAAAATCATCAGAACTGTTCCAAGTACGAGACAAATAACATTAACACAATGTCACGTGAAAACTTCAAAAATTCGCACAGAATATTTGATGAATGAAACTGAATTTCTGATTGCACCCAATGGAATTTACTTATTGAAACTATAAGGAATGAAAAATGTGTCTTAAGTTATAATCAATTCCGGCCGACTCGACCAGAATTTAGGATTAGAAATTTATACCGAGTAACGCAAAAGGTTATTTCGTTTTTCATTATTTTTCCTTTAATCCAATATTGATTTATAAATTTAAAGATAAAATTAAAAATCATTAAATAAGCTTTTTAAAATCCCCACAAACCAAAATCTCATATATAAATAAAAATGTATTAATAAAAATCCCCAGCAGTAAGGCAATTAGGCAATTCGATAGTTTATACAGACTATACGTATAATGTACGTTATTTGGTTCAATCAATTCAATATGAATTTATTTTTTATTTTTAATAAAAAAAAAACTAGAACTTATAACAATTTATATTAAATATAAATATCACAGTAGCCAAAGACAAGCTGTAAAT